GGCTAGAGTGAAATTAAGAAATTGTAAAACCAGAAAGGTATCAGGAATGAAAAATGGAGTAACCTGGCACCCGGAGTGACTGGCAATAGGTGAGACTGACCTTGTTTCTCTTGGGTGGGCAGGTGGAGTTCCCAGAAGCCCGCATTTATGAGGAAACACTGAACATTCTGCTGTACGAGTCCCAGGACGGGAGGGGACCCGACAACGCGCTCTTGGAAGCCACAGGAGGGGCAGCTGGCCGCTCCCATCACTTAGATGAAGACGAGGAACGAGAGCGCATTGAACGCGTGCGAAGAATTCATATTAAACGTCCGGATGACAGGGCCCATCTGCATCAGTGAGCCGAGCAACAGCCGCAGACTGCGCAGCTCTGCCTGGAAGGTGCTGCCCTTTGTCTGATCGATTATCTGCAGCAGAGGACCAGGCGGTTTAACTTCTGTTCAGCAAAGTCTGTAAATTACATTTTGTAACAAACTAGATTATTTGGGGTATTTAAATGCAGTAGTTCTAGGAGAAGAATAAATAAGGTTACTGGGCGTACGATAGATGCTGTAAGGACCTATTGAGCATCTGGAGAAATGCCCTGAATTTTTAGCACTCTTGTCTTTGCTCTTTTGTGGCTAGAGAGGAAGAGGGCTGGCTTCCTTTGGCTTTAGTAATTATCCTGCACTTTAAAAACAAAACAAAAAGCAAAGAAAAAAAGGTCAGTCAGCCATATACCTTCCCTCCAGGCACTCATTGACCCTGTCTCCTCCTAGGCACTCAGGCATGGGAGAAATGCAATGATCTGAACACACCAGGGCTCCTGCAGAGCTCCCTTTCTCTCAGGCCTGTAGGTGATGGGGTTGGTAGCTCAGGAGTGCCTCGGCGTGACTCCCAGAAGGACAAATGACACGTGCTGACTTGATTCCTGCAGTGCTGGCAGGCAGGGGGAGCTGCTTGGGCTCGGCTTGCCGGGGTCTGCCTGCACCTTTTCCCCCAAGGGTTCAGTGGAGCTTCTACAGCACTGAACTGTGGAGACCCACCCCTGCTTTATCCGTGCAGTTCAAGGGTGGAAGATGTTAAAATTCCTCCAAAAGGAAGATCAGGAGCAAATTGTATGCGATTGCTTTTCCTTAGGGTGGTGTTGCTACCAGTTAGCACTTAGAGTTTCTGCCTGATCCCAGGTCTCAGCCGGGGAGTTTATTTCCATCGGATCGCAGGTCAGTAAGCTGTGCTTTCTTTACTACAGGTAAAGCAGTAGTCGTCGCAGGTTCAAACCCTCCGTGCCAGCCCAGCGTAGGTAGGAGGCCAGCAGCCGTAGTTCAGGTCTGTAACTGATACAGGAGCATTGTCTTGCTTTGAGCGAGGGCAACACAAGTACCAGGGGGAAGAGGAGTAGGCAGTGGCCCAGAGGCCGTTATTCCTTGTTTGACTTTATCCTGAGCATATTCCAAGTCTTTTCAGAAATGGCAGCTGTGTGTGAAAGGACAGAGCTAAAATGTTGTGTAGAGAAGACCTAAGTAGTCTAGTTTTCTAAGAGTACTTTTCTATTATAAATGAATGTTATCTACCTCCTTGTCTTTTGTTGCCTGTTGTGGAGTCAAGTAACAATTACCGTGGAAGATTGTGTATTATTCAATAGGACTGGATGCTAAAGGACAATGAGCAGAGCCACAGCTGTAATGGTTAACGTAACACAGCCTGAGAGGGAGAGAAACCCGAGGTAGGAAGTCTTAAACGTGCGATCAGGCTGGCACCTTGGCAGACACCAGAGTACTTTGGCCTACTCTAGAGTTTTTTGACCCTTCATCTGGAATAGCTGTTGCTGGTCTTAATGGCCAGACATCTCACACTGAGCAGCAGCTCCATGTTCCTGTTCCTCATGGAGGTGGTTATTTGTTTTTGCCCAACTTCCTGCTGCAAGGATTCCCGCTCCTGGCTCAGGGCTGTTAACGGCGTGCTAACGTTTTAAAAACCAAAGGTGTTGTCAGCATCACCAGCTACGTTACTCCAATGCTTCTGTTTCAAATAGCAGTTACGTCCCAAACTCTGTCTAGCTTGTCTGTAGAGGCTGAAATAAAGCATTGTGTTTGCTCAGTGGTACAATTTTGGATCATCAAGTAAAGCTAAAAAGATTTCAAAGTTAGGCATAGGTCATCTTTCTAGGAACCAAAGACTTTTCTAAGTTACAGGCAGCTGGTGTCTGTAACATGTACCTGTCTCCTCTACTCTTTCTTCTTCAGCTACTGCTTTATCAGTTCCACTGTAGTTCAGCAGCTTCAGCTACATCCCGTCAGTTACAGGCTGCTATTTTAAGCTGTACTTACTTGTGTTTGCAACACACTTCGGGTTTGTAGAAGTCCATAGTGCAGATTGTTGTCGTGATGGATCCAGCACCTCTCCCTTCTTACCTTCCTTATGTGATAAGCTGGGGAGCGGGGACAGAAAGTCCTCTGAATTGCTCTGTTTCTCCAGCACTGTGTACTTTGACACTTCGGGCACGTTACTGGGCTGTTTATGGGTTTCTGAGCATCCATAACAGACCTACTGCCCTTGAAGGGGCCCAGACTCTGCACTGTGTAAAGCCGTTCAGCTCAATTCCCCCGTCTCCGCAGTCCCACTGCTCCTGCCAGCCAAAAGGAAACACCAGCCGATTACTGTAGAACATGCTGATAGTCCTGCAGCAAACCCTGCTTGCTTCATTAACGCTAGAGAGCTGGCTCTCTCCTGTAAGACAGGAGGGACAGGCCCTCTTCATCCTCAGCCGTGCTGAACTACCTGCTTTCCCCATACGGTGCCGGGGAGACTCCAGCAACCCAGCACCGGCTGCTCAAACAAAATCCAGTCACATCCTGTGGCGCAAGAGCAGGTTCAGCTCCAGGAGGTGACGTGTGTTGACACCAGTGCTAAGCACCTGACAGATCACATCTATGTGATTAACTTCTCTGTAAATAGATTCTTAACTGGCTTCAGGATTTCTTCTTTCAGGTTTTGCAAACTAAGTTCTTAAAAAACCCAGGGGATGGTTATTTTTAATCTTTGTACAGTGGTTTATATAGCTCTTGGTTTAGTAAGTCACTCCAGGAGAGTTTGAGTAAGTTTCAGTTTTGTTACTGCATTTATGGGCAGACTCTGCCTTAACACAGTCCTGACTTAACCCTCTGCGTGCTGTAGTTGTGTAGTAAAGATGTACTGCTGTCGTCCTTCACCTAGTGGCCACTTGTCCTTGGTCTGTGGAGAGAGACTTAGTTAATGCCTTTGCACAAATGCTCTCAGCTCTTGAGCCTTTTTACTGTAAATGGTTTTGCCTCTACAGCTTTCAGGTGAGGATGGGGTACAGGGCAGCTGGCCCGCTCCCAAGCAGCTCTTTAGATTATCTAGTGCTACCTCGTATTAACGGGGAGCACAGACCCGTCTGCTTCGATTCTCCAGCACCCCGCAACCGACACAAATAGTGACAGTACGGCAGAGCAGAGCTGACTAAAATCTTCCTTGTGGAAGTGATTTTGTCTATCAGCATAATGCCAAACAGCTGGGCTACAATCTGCAGCTTGTAACACAGTTAGGGCTGCATGGTAGAGGCAAGAGTGACCACCAGCTCCCTGGCAGGGTGTTTATTCCCCGTGTCAGTGTAGATGTAGCACCAAAGCAGCTGCTCCAGTATTCCCATAAGGCAGGTTTTGGATCCTGCTGCAGGCCATCACCTGGTTAGAGCCCTTGTAGAAGGCTCCAAGCTCCAGTCTTACTTTAGAGCAAAGGGTAGGCAGAACCTTCCAGTCTTAATGGAGTTGTCCCATTTCATGGACAATAGCAGCACATTCATCTGTTCTGTACAATCATTCCCTCCCACTTTATACTTAGGCACAAAAAAGCTTGAGCTGGATTCCAGTGTATGGTTGATGTTTGCAATATGTACTTTTTTTTTTTTAAATGTAACACAATAAATTCGAAGATATTTCATATTTACATGTGAGTTGCTTTATTGTTTGAAGCATGCTTCCCTCACGGTCCATGGAGCTGGAAGGAACTTTCAGGAAGAAATACCATACCATCCTTCCCCCAGGTTGTTCGTTTTACCTCCTGGCACCGCTCACGGCAGAGGCACCGGCCACCTGGCTCTCGGGACCCTGCAGACCCCAGGATTTAACGGCAGCAAGTCGAGGACCTGCAGGCTGCAGTTTCAGCCTAGCCAAAGCAAGCTGGAGCACTGGAGCAGGAGCTACGCGAGTTTGCCTCAACATGAGGCAGCAGAGTAAGCGCTATGAACGCAGCGAACGGCAGTACAGCTGCAGCTTCCAGGCAGGAGGGAGCAGAGGGAATTCCTGCCTTCCACCCTCTCCCCTCATACCTGCCCCACTACACCTCAGGGGAACAGTAGTGCCTACCACACTCTTGAGTGAGTCCAGCTCCATAGGTGGAGATGAAGGTTCTTCAGCAGCAGGGGACTGGTTTCTTCTGAACTGGATTGCACCAAGCCAGCACATCCCTCTAAGAGGGGGCATTTTGGTCATCGCTTATGGTTTTGCTTCCATTACACCATGCATAGCTGCTGCGCAGGGAGAACCAGGACAGGGTTATTCTAAAAGCAAAGATCTTCCTCCATGTCAGAGTAGACAAGAAAGCAGCTTGCTGAGACTTCCAGGTGAGCAGCTTCATATGCTGATGCACCAACTCAAAAATACCAGCACCAGCCCTACTGCTACATTTAGCCATCTCTACACATGCCGAAGCACGAGCTGCTGGTTTTAAAGGCTTTGCTAGTCTGCCCGAGACAAAAGGTGTTTTCAGACCAGAGTTAACTTCATTGATCTGCACTTGGTGCGGTTCTCCTGGCAGGTTGTGACTCAAGGTACAGCTAGAGAAACCTTTCTGCTTCTGTCTTAATCCTTCCTGCCTGGTCAGAGCTCTCGGCTCTTACTGGGTGCACAGAGACGGACATTTTACGTGTGGAACTGCAACTTTTGGGTTAAACCTTTCCCTGTGACAGTGTGTAATGAGCATCTATGCTCACTAGAATGTTACAGCAACATAATGGAATTTATTTAGCTCCAGTTGAACAGTTTTAAGCTATAAAAAGAGCCTAAAAGATGCAAGCAAACTCTCAAATCACAGCAGCCCTATGGCATCAAAGATTCCAGAGGAGATGCGAGTGCTGGTCTCATCCTGCAGGCTCCTTTCTGTTCCTAGCCAAGACAGTGACCAGGAACAGGAGCTGTTTCTCATCAAGACTTTGCCTGGGTTGACACCTGGGACGAGAAAAGGAAGGAGTCATTAAATTAAGTACAAATGTTATGTCCTTGAGGTGTCCTGTCTGTGGGGAAAAGAGGCAGTCTGTTTCTGTTTAGCAACTGGCATATCCAGACAACTCCCTTCGTCTCCGGCCTGCAAGGACAGCGACCCAGTGCCGTTACACCTCAGCGTGTAATGCTTCCTTGGAGCTGTCAGCTAATGGCACCAAACCCGCTAAGCTCACTGGTGAAGCAGCAAAGACCCACACCTTTCCTTGTTCCTCCAGCCACACTTGCCATTTACTGCCTTGCAGCTGTGAGCTGATGGAGGCAGGTTTAGCACACCTTCCTCCCTGACCAGAAGCAAGGACAGAAGCAGAGATCCCCCATTTTCCATAGCTACGTACAGAGCCAGAATTCGTTCTCCCTTTGGTAGCAGTGCTGCCAAGACTGCCACTGGGTCAGACAGATCCTTCCTTCTCAGATAACCTGCCTGGGTGACAAGAAATGCTTTCCCTCCATCCCCCAACCCATTTCAGAAATAATTTGGTTGAGGGAGGCAACAAGAGGTGGTAAACCTCTATCTACCTTCTTATGCAGGTAGATACTGACTGGGTAGTTGTGTCATGCACCTCTCTGCTCTGGGAGAGGAATCAAGTCCTCCAAAACTCATACAAAGGGCCCTTGCTAGAGCTTAGCTGTGCTCTCTGCAGGGGTTGAGCATCAAAGCAGAAAGCACGAGCCATATTCCCAGCGCTTAGATGAGGCCTTACCACTGTTAGTTGTCCATTTTTGGCTTTAAAGACCTGAGGCTCCTGCCCAACAGTAAACACCATTGTCCCTTCTTTCCCAGAGCCAATGCGAAACTGAAGACTGCAAATACAGACAGAATTACTCATTAGATGCTTTCCTCGCAATAGGCTTTACTCTAAGCCCCCTTTATTTCTGTTCCCTTGGCAAATCTCGTTAGATTAGAAGATCAGAGCCCTCCAGCTTAGGTAAATTTCCTAAACAATTGCATTATACCACACAACCCAGAAGGGTTTGATGAATGGAGCATGCCTGTCTGGTCTGGGCATTTGAATTTTCCTGGTGCAATTAAGCACTAGAAGATAAGCAGATCTGACCTGGAGAAAACCACTGAACACACGGAATCTAATTACAATTGAAACGCAAAGGCCAGAGAGAAAAGCTGGAGCAGAAGCACAGGTTTCATATGCCAGTTTCAATTCACGTAGAGATTTGAGAGACAGACTGCATCCACCTGCCATTAGCTTGGTGGCGTGACTGAGAAGGTTCCTGTGCTCAGCAATCACATTTCAGGGCCTTCTCAATCTTTTCGGGAGAGGAGCATTTATCCTGAAGTGACCCACAGGCTCAGCCCAGCAGGCTTTCCTCAGAGCTGGTGCTAATGAGATCCGTTGTGAAACCACTAAACCCACCGCCTCATGCCCAGGTCACATCAGCAGAAGCCTGAAAAAAGTGGTTTTCAATACAGTCACCTGTAAACAAGTTTGGGTTTTAAGCAGATGGATCATGGGCAGGTCTTAGAGCAGAGCAGCACACCTAGCAAGGTGCAACCACAGCCATCACGGAAGCAAGCCTTGTTAGCGTGGGAAATAGGCTGTAATGACTTTTTAATATATTTTCTTGTTCCTGTGCATCCCATCTTGTTTCCCCTGTGCCTATGAAAGGAAGCCATGAAAACAACTGTGCTACTGCACAGCAGACCTCTAATCAGTTCAGGGCACTGTCTGCTGGGGTGATGTTAATAGTTTTGACTTAAGTAGTCCAGGCCTTAAGTTTTTGAAGCAGGTTCTTCCATAAAATACAGCCTGCACAATACTACCCATTCAGCTTCCTTCCTTACCTTCCCTGCACAACTTTAACAAGGTTTTGCTTATTGGCCAGCATGCAGAGTTTAGTGATCGTCTCAAAGATATGCTCACACTGAAGTATCACATCTCCCTGGAAACAAAAAAAGAGGCAGAGAGTCATCTGGCATCACCCCAGCACGTAAGCCGCGCAGCGGTTGTGCATTCAGAGAAACTCCTTCCTAATGCCAGGGTAGGGACTGCGGTGCGGATGGGACCAGTAACTGCACAGCAGTTAAACAGTCAAGTACAAGTTTTGGTTGTTAAACATCCTTTCCAGGCACTATTTAGGATTTATAGCAACTTTGGCTCTAAAAAAAAAAAAAAGGAAAGTGAAAGCTTTCACGGTGAGACAGCAAGAATGTAAAGGTCTAGCTGATTACAGAATTAGTGAACATCAGTAACTGTGTAATCCCAGTATTTCATAGGAAAATATTAGAATTGTCAGCTACAAGACCTTACTTCTAACCACAAGCTCACAGCAGCTACGTTGCAATTTTCTACCTTCTGTTTGTTGTCCTCGGGAACATGGATGACTACAATCCCATCGCTCAGGTTACTGGTGGAAATGCCTTCAAAAAAAAAAAAAAATCAAAGAATTAGAGGAAAAACTACCAAAGACAGTTCCACACCACCATCATCTTCCCAGTTTTCAAAATACCTTCTGAAGACCACTTTGTCACCCACTTGTCCATAACACACTTCCAACAGTGGTTATTTAAACACAGTGCATTAGTTGTTTGCTCTGTACCTTTCCATGCTACCTTTGTTTTGGTAGGGGAGGAGGGAGAAAGTATATATTCTACCCCTGGACTGTAGTTGAGACAATGCCAGGATTAAAAAATACCTACAAAATGGGGTAGAAAAGGTTGGGGTTTTTTTTCTCCTTTCTCCCCTCTATTTTAACAGAAAGTGATGTTCTCCTGCATTTAAGTATTTCAAAGAACTGTGTCCTCTTATTCATAATTCATACCTCAAGGAACCGCACGCTGACACACAGACCCTTTATCCATCCCCCAGGAAAAAGCGTTCTCAGGTAGATCGTTGCTTTAAATATCTTTGAAAGACCAAGTTTCAGAAGTTCATCTTTCCGCCCCCAGGGTCACTGGCAGAAAGGGAAGCCCCACGCTGACCTCCACCATTACCTTTCAGAGTGGCGTAGTCTATTTTCTGCTTGATCTTCGCCATTTCCACCACATACGCCGAGGACTGGGTCAGAACAAGTAGCCGGTCTCGTGCTTTGAACCCGTTCCTGTCATATTTTATCACGGGGGTCACATACTGAAAACAACGAGTTGGTATCAGCATTTCTTGCTGCCACAGGGTCCTGCGCTGGAAGCAGTTCAGCAAGGAGCAGCACTGCACCACAGAGCTGCGGATCCCAGCTCACAACAGCTGCTGCCAACCTCTACTTATAATCATCTGGGTTTTTATACTTAGAAATTCAGATGGCAGAATCACGCATTGAGAAAAATGGTTTACCTGTGCCCTCTATGCCATAACCATGGGAAGTGCAGTGCACGCACCTGCACTTCTCCTGCCCATTACAGCCCAAATAGGGTTATTGATGCTTTTTAAGCTTTTATTAAAAGGAATCTTAAATAATTTTTGTCTAGGTGCATTTTGAGACCTGTCTCAAATTTAAAAGCAAGGAAATACTCGCTACACTGCTATTCAGCAGCCTGCCCTGCCACATAAGCATGGCTGCAGGACAGCCTCAGGCATGACGGATCGCCCAGTCTGTGTGACCGACCAGCTCCAGGACTCCAGTGAAGCTGGTTCGAGGGCTGCTGAGCTCCAGCTGTCCTTTCCTTACCTTGATCTTCTCACCGTGGATGAGCTGCAGTACTTTAGGGTTTATATCACTCTCTTCTGAGGAGCAAACCAGAAAGATAAACTGAGTGTAGGCGACAGACAGCCATCACTCCCACCAGCAAAAGACCAGAGAGCTGCATTAATTGTCTTCATCCCATCAGTCCTTGTCCCCTTGGTACACTCCCTTCTAAACTGTGGGTGTTCACTTCCAGCTACTCCTAAACCCATTTCAGTGATTCTTCCGGCCTGACAAGTAATTCACACTGGGAATACTGGCTGTTCTTGGGTCTGTTCTTGGTTCAGGCCCTGGCACAGAAGGACTTGTGCTGACTACCACCCAGAGCATTTTTCCTTCTGCACAGTGCTCCAGCTGAAGCTCTCTGGGAGCTTCCAACAATGACCCCAGCATCTCACCCACGCACCCCTGCTACCACACCCCACCCTATCTCCCAGATCCCTCGCCCTGCCATTGCACTACTAGGGCTTTCCTCGCATGCCTTTTATGTGCTTAACCCCAGCTGCATGGATTCCCAAGATTCACATCTCTCCTTCCCAGAAGCTCCAGTCCTTGGGAGCTGTGGGACTGGAACCCCACAGCTGGCAATGCTGCACTGCAACGTCCCCGCTCAGCCTCCCTGCTCCGTCCAGCACAGCGAGGGTGGGTCCTGATCCACCCCAGCCCATAAGGGAGGTTGCTTGGGTTTATGGCTCTCTATCCCAAGAGGGATTCCAGGTACTCCCAGTCTGAGAGCAAAGTCTGGCAGACTGATCGCCATGTTTAGTGTCACTGGACACGACAGGGCAAGGGAACTCAATGGTAGGGCCCAAACGCAGCAGGTGACGCTGCCTCTGTCAGATGGGAATTTCTCTTAGAAACCACGTCTGTTTTGTCAAACAGAATTTTCCTGAGCAAGGACCACGTGGCCGAGTCCTGCAGGGGTATGCCGTGTACTCACTCAGTCGGGTGTCCATGAAAGGCTGGTTTATGCTCTGCTGGTAGCCCTCCTTCTTCCCTCTGAAAACAGCACTTGCTACCACTTTTTGCTGTAACTGTTTTGAGAAGGAACAGCCTTCAACCTCTTAGAGTTTCTCCATTAACATCAGCAGTTATAATGTAGGCATCGTTACTACAAAACATCATCCTTTTACTCATGCAGTATCTACCTGACTCATGCTGCATTTCTTCCAACACCTTTAGGTTATTCCTGTATTACCCCAAATAAAGGAGTAGTACGGACTAAACAGTCCTACGGATCTTTTCTTATTTTTGGATCTTTTCTAATTATATGAAGTGCAGTTTTAATGCCATAAGATTAAGACCTATGTGTCTGTAGAACTGCACTGTACATTGCAAGTGCCACCGAAACAAACACCTGACTCCACGCTCAGGAATGTTTGCTCAGCAAAGGAGCAGTGGTGTGTCAGAAGGTGCAGCCTGCGTTTCAGACAGTTCACAGAAAGCAGATATCACATGTGCACAGTGTGTTTTAACTCACGCATTTTCATTCCACATATTAGTTACCTGCACTTTCCTCTCGGCAGTAACACCTTGGCAGTATTTCCTTACTAGGTTCCTAATGCAGATTTTCTGTAGCATCTCAGATGTCTACATTAAAAGAAAAAAAATAGCGAAGTTGTGCAAGCAACTCCTGCTGTAGTCCTAACAAATACTTGCCTGGTGCAAGCTGTTTTTAACATCTAATCACAACTCATTGGAGGTCCTCCAGCCCAGAGCCCCACGTACCAAAGAGCTTTGCTACCAGAGAAGGGTTAATGCCCAGCAGCAGCCGAAGGACACAGAACACCAAGCAGCTGAGTTATTACTAGAGTTACTAAAAGCAGCAAACCACATCCGTCACCGCCAGACGAGACTGTGGCACTGCACACGTAGCGTACCATTAGCATTGCTCTTCACCTTACCTTTTGCCTGAGCTTTTAATTTACCGGGCCCACCTCATCCACCGAGCACTGCCCACAGCCAGCGTGGGAGTCATCTGCTCTGGTCCTGAGCCAGGCAACGGGCAGGACCAAAGGGGCCATAACAAGTGGCAGCAGCTGTTTCTAAATGAGAGTTCTGCTGGAAGCAATTAGAGTTTGTCCAATTTGTGCACTGAGGCTACCTGTCCTGCCAAAGCCCAAACTAGATGAAAGGCTACAAGTCTATCTGTGCTGCAAGCTTAAAACATCATGGGATCAATTTTGTCTTTAATAGGGTCCATGACCCCACTTTTTTGTCAGTGCATCTTCCTTTCTATTGCTTAAAACAAAAGCACCAAGCTCCCTCCTTTCCCTTGGAAACTTAAACAACAGCACCATTCCTCCCACTCCCATCCTCCCCCAAATACAGAGGATCTCAGGGTCTTCCAAAGGCTCTGCCATCACGCCTGAACAGAGGACAAGCCAGCAGGAGACAGCTGCTTTTTTCCTACATGAAGCGTGCCACAAGCAACCCCAGAACAGAAGCCATCTTCACCTCTCCCGAAGCCTGCAGCAACCCTCACCTCTTCCAGGATGGAAGGAGGTTGGAGCCAGCTCTTGTCCAAGACGTTTTTTGGAACGTGGTCTCTGAGCTTCATCAAGTAGTTGTACTGCACAAGCTGCACAAATTCAGTGTTCTCTGGGCAAAGGGGTTTCTTCCGATTGATGAAGCCATTTATGAATCTACAGAAAATATCCGAACCAGAACTTACATGTTACCTTCAGAAACCAATGGAAATGAAAGGCAAGTCACAGAAGGCACACAACAGGCTAACGGATCATTGATGTTAACTCGGGTACATTGTCACCTGTGTCACAGCAAGGGAAATCTTAAGCTTTATAATATTCCAAACCTTAACATTTTTTTTCCAAGTTCTGTTGACCAAAATACAGTGCTTTGGAGTTAGAAAGGAAGATCAGCTCTACAGCACTCTTCAGGAGCTGGGTTTAAGGGAGTGGAGAGGGAGGACCCTACATAAGAGAATGGACAGGCACACAAAGTATTGGTTTGGAGATCCTCTGCACCAATATAAACTAGCAGTGCAACAGAAATTTGCATAAGTCAGAGAATTCATGAAGAGGTGACAGGCATTTCTGATCAACCCCATCTGGCAACTGTCCTCCTAACTACCATGATAGCTTAGAAATGGGTGCAAAGGAGATGGTTTTGACTCACTCTACTGTCAGTACTCTGGACTCATCGTCCAGACACCATCACCAGGCTGCAACCCACAGCCCTCCCCATGATCACCACGCAGTGATAGTTACTTCCTGATTATCTGAACCGCCCACGTCCTCTTCTTGGCCTCCTTCCGTGCCAGCGCTCCTCGCCAACAAGCCTCCAGCTTGATAGCTGCAAGAATTAACCAGGTCCTTGTATTAGTACGAGAGGTCCTGTGCCACACTATCGTTTAAATTCACATAGCAGAAGCTATAACTGTCTCTTTTGCAGCTCTTCCCATCAGCTGATGTTTAGAGTAAGACGTTTCAAACTTTTCCTTCTCCATAACAACTGATCCGGCACTACCTGAACTGTAGAGCCCAACATCAAGGCGGCGGTGTACTGTACACAGCAAGCAGCTCATCTCAGAAAGCTGGCCTTTGAGTCTGCAGCATTATTTATCAGCCTGTCCATTGTGATAAGAGGGTTTCTCTCCCTAGCAGTTAACGAGCAATTCCCTCGGTACCCCAGAACGTCCCCGCATGCACAGCAGAGGGTGCTGCCGCCGCACAGAGCTGCTCGCACAGCTGATGCCTGCGTGAGGCCAAGAGCAGCACATGATGTGAGGAGCTGAACAGAACTGAAGGGACCTCTGAATACTCTTCATACAGCTGTCACCTGCATCTGACCCCAAGACCCACAGCCCCGCAGGGGAGCCATGAGTGCTATCTGCAGCAACATAGATTTGTGACCTCCCAAAGCTACAACTCCTACTGGAAAGCATAGCCCTAAGAAGAGAATCCTCGATTCTAGAGCCCATACCTGCTTCTCTCTTCTTCTTGTACTCTCTCTTTCCAAGGCATCCTTTATATTTGGCCTGTAGTCTTGAAACTGGAAAAAAAAAAAAAAAAAAAAAAGCAGAGACATTACTCGTTATCTACAGGATCGCAGCATTCAGGAGCTGTGCTCCCAGCAATCAGACACCACTTGCCAAGGCACAGGAGGGTCTGCACAATCACCAAGGAACAAAGGTGCCAAGACACCAACAGGACCAAAAGTAGCCTGCGTAGGTAAACGTGCCTTTAGCAGCCTCATGCGTTTATGCATTTCAAGCAGGCACAAACAAGTAACACTAGGATGAGACAGGCGGTATCCCAATCCCAGGGGAAGGTACTTAGTGCATCTAGACATGGACCAACAGTTACTAGTAGGACCGAGGAGCTCTAAAGGAGATATGTATCTGGAACTCAAGTAATATAGCTAGTGATTTCTCCCCACCCTGGAAAAAGATTACTAAGTTTTCCTTGGACTCTCCAGAGTTCTGCAGAGCAGGGGTCTCAGCTCTCACCACGGTGTATCTGCTGCATGAACCTGGAGCCCAGAAACACAGTTCACCCAGGCTCTGCTTCTTAATCTATATATAGATAAAAGGAACTGGAACCATACCTAACAGGTGCTTTCTGAATTCAAATGCATCTTCAGTAGCAAACAGAGTCTTTGGGAATCGAATGAATATTTTGGTTCTGAAAAAGAGACCATGAACAGCTTATTCACAGTGAGCCATCATTTCAGCTGCCCTAACCAGGCTCAGAGTCCTCAACCAGCTGTAATAATGACAAGTTACACCTCCTTCCATAACCACTCTTCATTTGTCTAGCTGGCACACCCTGAAAGGATGCAAAGGACTTGGCAACGGGTGGCAGGGAGAGGGAAGGAAGCAAAACACCAGTTACTGCACAAGGTCCCAGGTGCCCTGGAAGGTACAGTGTGGGGACCTCGGCCTTTACATGACTTGTAATTAGAATCATAGAATCGTTAAGGTTGGAAAAGACCCTTAAGATCATTGAGTCCAACCATTAACCCAGCACTGCCAAGTCCACCACTAAACCATGTCCCTAAGCACCACATCTACCCATCTTTTAAATACCTCCAGGGATGGGGACTCAACCACGTCCC